GTTAGATTAATTTGTACGACATGGACCGGGATCAGATATGTATCAAAGTTTTATATATTCCGTTTAATGTTATGCAATAGTTATCATTCGTTTGAGCACCAATTTCCAAGAAAAAATGCAAATTGTTCACAGTTTTATGCAATACTTACACGTATCATGCTTGGATGTTTAGACAAAGAATTAAACCGGCACAGAGGAAAAATTCTGCTTTATCAGAACTTTCAGGCTGGCTGGCAGTTTTTTCGCACAGAATATTCTTAAAGGAACATGGAACAGTGATATAACCTGTATTTCATCAGCGAGCGACAAGTTTAAAATTAAGTCAATATTATGTCTATCGTTGCAGGGTCTTACATGAGTTCAAGCATGGGGAATTTTTGCGCTAAAATTGTTCATATTATTATTTGGCGATTAGTAGCTGTTGAATGGCCAGAATGGCAATCAGCGAAAATAATTTTTCAATCCAATTTGGATAGATCCGGATACTGCACTACAGTCTGTTCTATGATCAAGTACTACAATGGCAACAGGAAACTAACAGTTGAGCCTACGACACTAGATAGTCAAAGCTAGAAAATGCATATTTCGGTGAATTTAAACTACGGCGCCCAATTATTTTTATTGGGCAACTGAAAAATTGACACGAAAGATTCTAAGAAAAATTTTGAATACAGTCAGTGTCACGAACAACAACCTCAAATGACGAGCGGAAAGTATCATTAATACGAGAATTTATCGTGAAATTTTAGACATAGTTTGTCGAAAGAACACGGACAGTGAATGGTGACAGGCACTTGTAGTGAAGGCACCAAATGGCACCCTAGACATTCTATAGCGTGTCTAAAACACGAATTATTTTTAATTACCAGCCCCGTCAACAAGACTCACTCATATACTTTGTTTACAACATGTAGATTGTTCTATTTTAAATGTGGTGTGTCATTCAAATAGTCAAGATCTTATAAATTCAGCTCATGAATTTCGTTAACGAGGCTGGTAATGCATCCGCACTATTCACCAATGCACATCTATTCGAATGCCTAATTTTTAGAAGCGACAACGAAGTGCAACGGAATTTTACTTACTATTCGAATTAGAGACCCTAAATAGTCTTACTTCTGTCCTACCATGTCAGGACAAATTTCTGTTACATTTAATTACGAGAGTTAAATTTACTGCATCAATTTAAATTTGAACGCTTAAAAATCAACGAACGATTTAAGGCTCATCAATGCAAAAGATAGGAAATTAGAAATTTGAAAAAAAAACAAAGCAATTATATTAGTAAAGTCCTAATGGATTTATGAAATTAAAATGAACAATTCTGCTTCGCATGAGTGCAAGTTATGTAGCCAAGACAAGTTGGGTAAAAAAAAACAAAAAACTGTCATAGTTTTTAAAATAATATTAAATCCCATGGATCTAGACTCGAAATAACCCTACATATTGCAAAAACTATGAATAAGCTGCAAAAGTTTTACGTTCATCAAGAATTTATACAGTGAAGCGTTCAAAAACTTGATTACTTTCAAACAACCAAGAATATTCATTTAAATTAGAAAATTTCAAATTAAATAAACTGTTGCATCACAGATCGACTGATTTTTAAGCAGTGAATAGGTTAGTTTTTTGTAAACATTGAATACAAAATTCAATAAAATAACATTCACATAATTCATCATCATAACTCTCGCTAAAGTACATAAATAATAAATTATATGTCGATATACAAGGGCATTTTCCCTAAAGACATTGTTTAGATTTTGTAAAGTCAGTTACTTTTTTAGGGTGTGAAGCTTAAAAATTCTACTTAATACAATTAAACAATTGCGTTAAAGCCACGATGTGCACAATGTGAAAGAAAACTGTGAATGTTAACATAGAAAACTACAGATATTTTTTATAATATTTTCTTGGACGAAACATACCAAATATCGGAAACATATCATCTCTATGAAAACGCAGAGAATAATTGCATAAATTAGCATTAATGTTCAAACAATATCACAAATGTCGATGATAAAATACTCGAAAATGAACGCAGTGGCATTTACGATACAGATTTTCTTAATTCTATAAGGCATACTTTGCTCTTTATAATACAGGACGATTTTTATGTACAGCTCTGGTGCATCTCTTTCTGCCTGATAAAATCTTAGCATAAAGATAGCTTGGTAATCAAAGCGCTCAAAATGAATATAACCTGCAGAATAAGATCGAAGCGAAACGGCTTTTGTGCACATTGATACGTAATTCATAGGCAATTTCAATCGTTTCAATGATTAATCAAACCCGCATGCGAGTATGGCAAGACCATAAAAATCAATCACATTACTAACGAAAATATCTAATACTTTAAAAATTAAAACGGTGCTTTAACATGAGCCACATAATACTCTTCCAAGTAAATAGCATTTCTTTGTAAAGCAAATTTTAAATAAAACATGCGACATGGTTCCGTAAATTTTCATTTTCCATTGTATTGGTATTGATTTTGGTTGCATACGGGTACCATACATTTAACAATAATAATATTTGTAGTGATTTACATGAAATCACACAAAATCCATCGTAATTATTGTTGATAATAATATAACTTTCTTGGAATCCTACGTAAAATACTAAGTGGCTAAGCCTAGTTCACAAATTCACTAACAATAAGACCTCAATAGGCAATTTACAGATTTATCATTTAAACTTTGGAATTCGGGGATAGTGCTCAATGCCTTCCTCTAATAACATAAATATTTAATTAGATATTCGCTAAAATTCTTATCCTAAACCATTTATCAAACGAATAACGCGACACCAGGTGCAGTGAGGCAAGCAAATGACAAACCTTATTAAAGAGAAGAAGTAAACGTAAAATTATATAATCTTTCACACACCATATCCTTTCATATCATAAAAGCCTGTCAGAATCATTTAGCCTACACATCTTGGCCATTAACGCACTCGATGTGATTGATAAATATTCGTGTATATACGCAGGTAATTTACCAGTCACTCTGGACATCGCTCGATTTCAAAAAACGTAAAACGTTCACAAATCTCGCAATGAAGATATGTGACAAGTTCGTAACCCACGCGGATGAAATGAGATTGTAGATGTTCATTAAATTTCATATATGTTATGTAAATAACCATACATAAACAATTTTCTATCACAAGAATTCTTCTCGAAAAATATGAAAGTGTTCAAGCCTGAAGCGTATATCAAACCGCGTCTCTTACACATAAAAGACCACTTTTTATACGTATACGGATAAGTTTTAAAATATTATTAAGTCAGCTTACTTCCGATTTCTCACTTTTTAAAATGTAGATTCGTAAGTTACAGTTTGCTCGACCACCCCACATCACTGTCTGTTTTGGTTTAGTGAATCAACTAAATATTCAAACTCAACGTCGTGCTACGTTAGCTACGTGTTTCTTGCAGTTCTATTCGCGTTTTGCATCATAACTTGAAATGTTTGTTTGATTCTCATGCAAGAACTACTTTATTCTGTTTATAATTTATAAGCACACTTACATTCAACAATTAAGATATTCAAGAAGTAATTTAAAAAAATTAAGTTACAAATTTTCGTACGTACGAGTGTAACTCTCACTTCTGAAGAAACTAAAATGAAATGACTTCGAATATGCGAAATATCGATTAACTAATAACTGGTTTTGTACCTAAATTTAATGTTATACTGAATTATTTATTATATTCTTCAGCCGGTGTTTAAAATCAGTTTTGTAAACTCGATATCGTCCTGAGGTGTTCGGACAGACAGGGGACGGACGGTATCACTGATGCACAAGACTATGTGAACAGCTACACTATTTTCTCGATTACTCTACTTATATGACTTTTTATCTAACTTTAAGTAGGCGGGTGTGACGAAATATAATCAAGCACTTGTCCAAAACGAGATTTTCAACTCGAATAAAAAGAAGTCAGAAAAAATTGAAATTGTTCAAGAAAATTCAACAAAGAATTCAACGGAAATTATTTTTTAACAAACGTCACGAAGAACCTTAACGATGCTGGCGACTGCGGATCACATTATCCAATATTGGAACTGGCTGGGTAGATATTAAGTGAATTCGGGTAGTATTTGATACATTATAACCTATTTATGAACATTTGATACAAAATATCTCAAAAGGAGAAATATATGACGTATAATATTCCGATATTAGGAGGTTTTACAGATAAAATCCCGATATTAGAAATATTTTATACAAATCCTAACACTAGGAATTATTATACATAATATTCTGATCCTAGGAAAATTCTAGAGCACTGTGCGAAAAAATCGTAAAAAACGGTGTCAAAACAGTGTTACCGGCGTTAAGTGACAGGCAGCCACGTGAAAATAAACTGTTTCTCCGTTATTCTGTTCTGTGGTTGTACGGGTTCCTAGTGTAAAATTGGGAATAAAAACGGCGACACGGCGTTTTTTTCACGTGCTTGCCGGTCACTGACATGCCGGTAATGCCGTTTAACGGTGAATTTTCGATCAGTGTGACTGCAACTTGTCATAGAGGCTAATTAACAATTAATAATTATTAGATCTCAAAACGAAGAGCAGTAGGAAGTTTTTAGCAATATTTTTAAAAACTTCGTAAATATTAAATTTGCAAATTACTTTCATAGAGTTAAATTATATAAATGAGGGTTTGAATTTAACAAAACTACTTAATCAACTTACGCTTGAGAATACATTATCGTACGAGTATTTAAAGCAAAATGACGTCATCTCACATGATATAATATTGAACAACCCTCAAATCGGTATAAATTTTAAAACAAACATTTTTTAAAATAAAATAATCTGTTCATACCTCTTACGAGATGTTAAGGAGACCAGGAAAAAAGCATTGACTTGCACAAATTCTAAATAATTTTATGCATAATAATAATAATTGAATTAATTAAGCAATCAATAAAGAAATCATATCTAATAAAATTCTGTCAATTAAATAATAAATTATTTCATTGAAATAAAGAGTTCACTAAAGAATAAAATTGTCGTACAAAAAGAAACTTATAGCGCATCAGTCGATCGAGAACGAAGCTGAGTATGAATAATGATAAGCTTTAATAATAAATTTACCCCTGCGTCGAGAAATTAAAATTACTTCAAAGAATAGCAAATTTACAGACAAAGTTTATAGAAATATAGGAACTAAAAAACTTTGCAGCCTCATTGAATATAGCAATAACCATTAAGGCGGATACGTTAATCTAAAGCGAGTTAAAGCTTATGGCTACTGACTCTACAAAGTGCTTTTGAGAAATTTAAAGATTTTCTCACTATGAAATACATAAAAATATTGTAGTGTATTAGTTTTAAAAGCGGAACACTATTTTCCGTGGTTAAGAATACGGACGATAATAGAAATTAGGCTATAAATTCGTCGGAAACAAATTTATACGAAAGTCAGTACTTTAGTAAATTTATACTAAAGTACAGTCTGAAGCATGATAGAGATCTTTAAACAAGAAATCAAAAGCATTATTCACGGTGTGGTTATCATTTTCTTAAAAATGCAACGTGATTTTCAGTTTTAATATTATACATCAATAAGAGTGTAAAACAAACCTAAGATTGCATCCATCAACCACGACTGTACGATTGTGCTCAAACTTCATCAATCCGGGACTTATCGTTATCATATTAGATAATAGGTTCAACGAAGACGATGGAAATAGAAATATGTTTCTAGGCACCAGTACAAGGACTTTACGTACGCTTTCAAATTAAATAATTTTTCTATTGATCCAAATAAATATCTACTTCACATAAGTGTGAACAGTCAGTCAAAAATTGAACACAATTAATCAGAACACAATCAAAGCTGCCGAAAAATGAGCATCATTAACTATGGTGACTTCATCCATCAACGTGGATGAACAGGCAAAATGATTTTTATTATTTTGAATGCAATTTAACGGTGACTGAACAAATTCAGCCCGAATATGTGAACTAGAGATGTTGGCGCATAAGTTTCATGTTGCCTTAAAAACATCATCGTGTTTACAAACAAACATCATCATGTATGCGGATAACACATAACTATATTTGCGCACAATCATCACCATATTTGCGCACAAACATCACCACATTTCTGTACAAACATCACACTATTTGCGCACTGTCTTCCCTATATTTGAGTACAAACATCTTGTTTACACACAAACTTGACTATATTTGTGCAAAAACATGATGGTGTTTGCACAAGTCTGAAGCGTAGAAGACGGTCCCAGAGAGCTTAGAACTCGAGGTCCCAGCCCGAATTTTCGTCAGGAGGCACTTCCAGGTCCCGTGGGTACTTGTCGAAGTTGCTGGCGTCCGTGGCATCGGCAACCTGATATCAAAATAATTTTATTGGAAGCCAGTCTTGATTCTCATTGATGAATAACTAAAAAAAGGAGTAGAAACGTTGAAAAGTAGGCTGATAGGCTTCTTTTAATATATAAGTACAACACAAATGACAAACATTTATTTACAGAATCGCAATTACAGTTGTTCTAGAAGATAGTTACGTCAAAAGATAATTTCATTATAACCAATTATTATAATTATAACACAGATACAATCGATTGTGTGTATTCTAGAATTTTCGAGCTGATGATGGATCTGGACTCCTATGAGTTTTCTATTGAGAAATAGTGAATTTTAGTGGAATTTCCATCGATTTTAAATTTTTAGTGAACTTGCGATTCATGCAATCGAGTGACATTACTGCATGATAACGATATGTGATCCGAAACGATATTGCACAATTACAGGGATATCCGAACGAGGCAGTTCTGGAATAAATACAAAACAATCTGGAATTAAATACAAAACGATCTGGAATAAATAATAAACGATCTGGGATAAATAATCGATCTGGAATTAAATATCCGACATAATCACAGGCACCTTAGGTACGATGGGAGGAGTGAGGCACTGCATGTTGAGGCCGTCCCAGTCAAAGCCCTGGAACCACCTGCAACACAAACATGCTTTAATGAAGAGAATTTAGATCAAAATATGTGCTTTACTTTGAAAGAAAACTGGTTCGATACATGTTTCAAGCAAATCGTTGAAGTAGCGATACTTACGATTAATTTTTCTGCTACTAAATACCAACTTAGTAGCCATCAGTTTAGTAATGATTAGTATTTTCCTTGGATGCATTATCTGTCTTAATTGCTATTCGCATTAGAATGTTTGGTAACGATAGTTATACTGTCAGAAGGCTCAAGGTTAATACCTTAACAGTCTTTATTGATGTACCATCCCACCTGCTAACGACAGTTACCATCGATATACAAAATATTCAAGCGTTACCTGTGTTTCTTGACGTCCCATACCCCCTGGTAATAAAAGATGCCATCAATATACAAAATATGCAAGCATTACCTGTGTTACTTGATGTCTTGTATGCCACCTGATAATGTCAATTACCATTGGTATAGAAAATATACAAGCAAAACCTGTGTTTGACCTCCATACCACCTGGTAATGACAGTTGCCATTAATATACAAAATATACAAGCATTACCTGTGTTTCTTGATGTCCTGTATACCACCGCGCTGGTAGCCGAGCCTCTCCGTGACGTTCTCGCGACACAGTCTCTTGATGAGCGCCGTCGCGGTGCGGGTGACGTGGGGCGGGAAGCTGATCATGTCGATGCCCTTCAGGATGATGTTGTAGGTCTTCATCGGGTCTGATGCGTTGAAAGGCGGCCTGAAAACACAGCAGTGATTGCAGTTTTTTGTGGTAATATGTTTATGAATTAGTTTTATGAGTTGGCAGTATTATGATGCGTTGAAAGGCGGTCTGAAAACACAGCAGTACTTGTAGTTTATTGTGGTAATAGGTTTATGAATTGTGTAATATGATTATTATGTATTATGTTTTATTACTTGGCAGTATTATGAAGATAACTAGGCATCCAGCGAGCGATTCTGGGGGAGCTTGGGACAGGTAATTGCTATGTCAAATCGTTTTGCATGATACATTAGATAATCAAATAGACCACAAATTCCAAAAGAACATCTTCCTCTTATTTTGGATTTTAAATTTGAAAATGTTAATTGAATCTTATTTGCTTTTAATTTCCTGTTTTGTGGTGCCATGTTGTCCCATTAAAAAATTTAATTGCAGATGATATCCCGAGGCGATTTGCACTTTGGATACGCGCTTGAATAGCCAAGCATTAGTAACACCCAGAGTCATACACTCGAAAATAAATTATTGCATAGGCAAAATGAGATGAGACTCTTCAGAACATGGTAAAAATTTATATTGTTAGACAGATAAACAATCCATCTTGTGTTGACAATTGCAGCTCAGGTGACTAGTGATTAATACTCGGATGTAGGTGCGCATTATTCATATACCCTACCCCTCGAGTGTAGTGCATTGTCGCATATACGTTTCAAGAGACCTATACTCACGTTTCGCAGTGTATTCGTTCCTTCAGGCGTTATGCTCCTCGAATATGTTATATTCTGTACAATATTCCAGCTATACTACTCACGTTTCGGCGTGTATTAGTTTCTTAAGGCATTAGGCTCCTCGAATATGTTATATTGTTTTTCAATACTCCAGCAATACTACTCAAGTTTCGGTTAGTATTAGTTCCTTAAGGCATTATGTTCCTCGAATATGTTATATTCTGTACAATATTTCAGCAAAGCTACTTACGTTCCGGCGTGTATTAGTTCCTTAAGGCATTATGTTCCTCGAATATATTAAATACTGTACAATATTTCAGCAAAGCTACTCACGTTCCGGCGTGTATAAGTTTCTTAAGGCATTAGGCTCCCCGAATATATTTTATTGTAATTCAATACTCCATCAATACCACTTACGTGCCGGTGAGGAGTTCGAAGAGCAGGACGCCTACAGACCAGTAGTCCACAGCTCGGTCGTGTCCTTTGTTAAGGATGATCTCAGGCGCCACGTACTCCGGCGTGCCACAGAAAGTCCAAGTTTTGCTGCTCATGCCCAGGTACTTGCTGAAACCGAAGTCAACCTGCGCGATAATAAAGAATAAATAAGATATAAAAAAATTCCCTTAATAAAAGTAACTCTATGAGTTATGAGTAACATAAAGGAACTTTATGTAAATACAAAAACCAAACTGAAGAACCCATTTACAGAGATAAAAGCCCAAATCCGAAGTCAACCTGCGCGATAGTAAACATTAAATAACACTAATAAGCAAACTAAACTTAACGGAAATGAAAGAAACTCTATGAAATATGAGTAGCATAAAATAACTAAGTAAATAAAAACAAAACCCAAGTAGAGAAGAACCCATTTACAGTGATAAAAGCCCAAATCCAAAGTCAACAATATGACAATAAATAACAATAATAATAATATAAATAATAACAATAAATAATAATATAACAATAAATAACAATATGATAATTGTCAACAATATGACAATAATAGACAATAAATATGAATAAAAGACAAGCAAAACTATACGTAAATAAAAGTAACTCTATGAGTTATGAGTAACATAAAGGAACTTCATGTAAATAAAAAAACAAAACCCAGGTACTGAAGAACCTACTTACAGTGATTAAAGCCCAATTCCAAAGTCAATCTGAGCGACGACAGAAATTATTGTAAAAATGGATAAGAAGTGATCGTGTAGGCGACAAGTATGCGAAGGATGATAAATATTCATCGTCTGTCATACTGTCATAGGCTTGAAGTAATGAGCGAATACTTAGTAAATTGCCAATTCCCAGGTCCTAAGTCTTTTCATCCGTTCTCATACGTAGGAAAAAAAGTCAACTAATGATTCTCAAAAATAAAGTCAAAATTATTTCTTTAACTTTCGGTTAAAATTTCTCTACTTAAAAAAATTAAAATTTCTCTGTTACTTCATGCAACTACAAAATTTGTGATAAATACCAGACCCACCAGGTGCATGGAAGCTGGCACATTTAATGTTTGAATTAAATAATTGACAAAAGTTTTATGTCAAAATCAGGAATTTGTGACTTACTGATCTCTGGCTACTTTTTACGCCATGAAACGAAATGATACGCCGAGCCTTGAACTTGTGGTTCTTAGTTTCAGAATTGAATTGTTGCATGAATGATGAATGACATTATTTTGCGTCGAATATCAACCATAGCCTAAGTCAGAAAAAAACTATACTCATTTTAGGTCAGTCATTTTTTAACTAAATAATGATTTTTATATTATGCTCGATACCAAGAAGCACTTTTGAAGGGTTTCTTTATGAAGTTTGAAGATAACGACGAAGGCGTGAGCTCATGGCTAAAAGAATTTTTCACGAATTTAAACTTACGAAATATGTGATACAAAAGGGAAGGGTTTTTTTCTCACTAATTTATGATATCCGTTGTGGTCATAAGGCAATCCTATTTTCTAGTCAATTTTTTGATAAAACTGATATATATAGACAAAACCATAAATTGTCGAAATTTCTAACAGAAATTAATAATTAAAATTTACGAACAATTATAATGTAAACCGTTAATGATCAACGCACTAGTTTAACATATCCATTGTTGTCGAGAAGTAGGTTTTCAGGCTTGAGGTCTCTGTAAATAATGTTCTTGGAGTGGAGGTAGTCAAGCGCCTCCACCACGCAGGCGCTGATGAACCGCGCGGTCTCTTCGTCGAACCAACCGCGGTCCCGCAAGATGGTCCACACCTCGCCCCCCAGACACGCCTCCATCAGCATGTACACGCACTTGCTGTCCCGGAACGTCTTGTATAATCTGGGCACGAGAGAGTCATATGAGAAATAATATTGAAATAGTGCATGGTGAATGATATGGGTGAATTGGAAATAAAATGGAAGTTCACTTAAAGTTGAAAAACGCCTCCATCAGCATGTACACGCACTTGCTGTCCCGGAACGTCTTGTATAATCTGGACACGAGAGAGTCATATGAGAAATAATAGTGAAATAGTGCATGGTGAATGATATGGGTGAATTGGAAATAAAATGGAAGTTCACTTAAAGTTGAAAAACGCCTCCATCAGCATGTACACGCACTTGCTGTCCCGGAACGTCTTGTATAATCTGGACACGAGAGAGTCGTATGTGAAATAATAGTGAAATAGTGCATGGTGAATGATATTGGTGAAATGGAAATAAAGTGGAAGTTCACTTCAAGTTAAAAGAGGCCTCTGTCATCATGCACTTGCTGTTCTGAAACGTATCGTATGATCTTGACACGAGATAGTGCTTTGAAATAGTGCATGGTGCTATTCCGGAACATCTTGTATAATCCGGATACGAGAAAGTGGGTTGGAATCGTGTATGGTGTTGTCCCGGAACGTTTTGTATAATCTAAACACCAGAGGTTTGCTTAAAAATAATAGTTAAATAGTGCATGGTGAATGATTATGATATCATCGAATGAAAAATTATAATAGTGAGCTAGGCATCGACTTAAAAACAGGGCATTATGATAAATTTCAAAATGTTGTCGAGAAAAATTCGAACTAGAAAAGTTCTGTCTTGCACTTTTCTATCTAGAGTAGGCCAAAATTTAAATATCAGTCTGGATCAAAAACCAATGAATATTACATTTCCCACGAGAATTATAAGAAGCGTTGTGAATAAATGAATGTATATCAGAACGAATTGAAAGCCAAAATGACTGAAAGCGAAGCTATTACTTCGCTCCGAGTACAAGCACACTTCTTTGACTATACAAATTCTGACTAATGAATTCTGATAGTAGAAAACCCGAAGCAAAATCGTTCCATAAATGCACCCATTATTATTGTCAAATGAAACTCTAACATATGATTACATATAAGTAGGACAGATAGACGAAATTTCGTAACATATTCAGTTATTTCTGAAATGGCAGCAATGAATTGATAAAGGGAATTCCATAGCTACTGAACGTTTGAAAAAATATTCAGAGCGTTAAAGGTGATGCTGTAATCACCATTGACGATCTGATGGTTTCTGACCATTAACGTTTCATTACCTTAAACGTGGTGATGGTTTTATCACCACGTTAATAGTGATAAAAAAAGGAAAACAATATTTTAGGAAGTAGATTTAAAAATTGCGCCTACATCTCATGTTAGTCATACCAAAATTAAAAGAAATATGCGGTGAATAAATGAAATGAACCACCTATTTTTCATTTTAAACCTCAGAGATTCATGAAAACCTGTTCAAACAATAAAAGCACCTGCAGATAAATGGACTGCGGACGTTCATCATTATCCTCTTCTCAGAGTATACGTGATCTTGTTGCTGCGTCTCTACAATGTGCGTCTTGCGCAGACACTTGAGCGCGAACGTCTTCTTGCGGTCGTGCACGCACTGTACGAGCTCCACTCGCCCGAACCCGCCTACACCGAGCGTGGCTATGATGTCCAGGTCGTCCAGTTTGATGTGAGAGAATTCTGGGTGGGGATTAAAATAATAGAATTATATTCTTCTCAGTGATAATTAAAATTATAGAATTCTATTGTTCTGGGTGGGGATTAAAATAATAGAATTCTATTCTACTGAGTGAAAATTAAAATAAAATAATTCTATTCTTCTGAGTGAAAATTAAAATAAAATAATTCTATTCTTCTGAGTGGAAATTAAGATAATAGAATTCTATTCTTCTGAGTGGGAATTAAAATAATAGAATTCTATTCTTCTGAGTAGGAATTAAAATAATAGAATTCTATTCTTCTGAGTAGGAATTAAAACAATAGAATTCTATTCTTCTGAGTGGGAATTAAAATAATAGAATTCTATTCTACTGAGTGGGAATTAAAATAAAAGAATTCTATTCTTCTGAGTGGGGATTAAAATAATAGAATTCTATTCTTCTGAGTGGGAATGAAAATAATAGAATTCTATTCTTCTGAGTGGGAATTAAAATAATAGAATTCTATTCTTGATTGAATAATAGAATAAGAATCATACTTATATAAAAAATAAGGAGTTAACAACTGAAAAGATTTGATATGGGGGAATTATGTTATTGAACAACGAGAAATTTTAACGTAATAAAAGTTTAAATTGTAAACAAACTAGAAGAGTTGGGAAAAGCACTATTAGAATGAAGTATTACGTATGTTCGAAATATTTATTTGGAAATTCATTTTTGAGATAGCATTTATTATTAATATTATGCTACAGCTTGAACAATGAGTATTATTTGTAAATGCAAGTGAATTATTGAACTTTTATTTAACTCTTCATTTTTACAAGCACGATGTCTCAAAAATTTTATTGAGGAATACAAAATTTCGAAGGTGAAAAAAAAACTCCGCAATGCGACTGTCCGTTCTGTGGCTATAATTTTCTCAGGCCCAAACCTGGATTAACTCAGCAAGGCTGAACATTTTAAATGTGTTTTAAAACAAAAGCAAAAACAACTAACGTCAAAGAAAGATAACACATATATTGTGGACACGTACATAATAATTGAATTTTTTTCGGAAAAGGTCAGTGATTGCGGAGAAAGCTTAGATCAAACTTTAACGTTCATTTTCTTCTGAATTTCTGGATCAGTTTAGTTTATGCTAGCAAAGCAATAATAATGTTACTGTAGAGGAAATTCATCAGGCATGGCAACAGCGGCCAATCTTCATTGGTCCGCTGCGCCACGTCAGCAGATACGTAGCCAATAAGTAAGCGTAGGTAGCCTTAGTCATTAGCTCGTTGAAACTCGTGGGAGGTGGAACGCGAACTTCTCGTTTCCACTCTCGGGTAAGGATGCATCTTGGTGGAACCGTGCATCTTGGTGGAACCGTGCATCTTGGTGGAACCTTGCATCTTGGTGGAACCTTGCATCTTGGTGGAACTGTGCATCTTGGTGGAACTGTGCATCCTGGTGGAACCGTGATACCCCGGCAATCTTACGCACGCTGTTCAAGGGCACCGGTAACCTGCACTCCTTTACCTTTCCTGCTTTATTTCTATTGTTTATTAAATGTTAAGTAAGTTTCGCGTATTTCGATTTGCATCCCGTGGCGAGGTCTGGTTGCGGTAGATTCCTTGGCTGAGCTAACCCTGGACCGTAATTGGAATTTTCCAGCTTATCTGGACTACGGTTGTGGTAGTGCTCCGGAATTCCTTTACAGTTACTTTTAGTTCTAATTCTTTGAATACTAGGAGACAAAAGAAAAGTATACGAGCAACAAAATCTACACATAATAAATTTTTGCTAACCTTGCATGAAAATAATATTAGAAGGCTAAAAATTTTGAAGTTTATTAATTCGAACTCAAAGATATCTGAATTGAACAGAACCTTTAATTGTCGATAAATAAATTCCCTAAATTTAATAACAAAGTTGCCTTTTTTTCTTTTGGCGGCCTCTTACCCCTGGTTAGTATTAATACGGAATTTAAAATCGCTAATTTATTGGTACAAAAATTATATACTGTCCCAAATCGGTAATTTTTTCATATTTTCAGATTCGAACATAAATTCACCGAAAATGTCAATAAGACGTGAATATACGTTTTAAGTTATTATTTACATCACTTGAGTAAATAATTGATATTTCACCGCATTCTGTAATAATATTTAAGGTACAGCAAGACAAGGGAAAAGTTCACCTTCTTCAGGAGTGACGCTCCTTGGAGCAAGGATGTTTTTGGTGGACCGATGTTTAATTTACTTAAATTATTTACATCATTTGAGTAAATAATTGATATTTTACCCCGTTCTATAGTATTTAAGGTACTGCAACATAAGGGAAAAGTTCACCTTCTTCTGGAGTGACGCTCCTAGGAGCAAGGATGTTTTTGGAGGACCTCTCGTTCTCATACTCCTTCTCCCGCAGCTCCGACAGGTCCCCAATCAGCTGATTGAAAGAACTGAAACAAAAAACAAGCTCAGCGGAAAACCCGACGTTTCCAGTCCAACGGAACTGAAAGCTCATCGTTGTTGTCTTCTTCGGAACAATTTCCCGGGTTTTGTTGGGGCAGAAGTTCAAGGATGTTTTGTATGTTCAATATTCTGGCCTAATGTTAGGACGGAATTAGTACTGTGAGATATTTTTACTACTGAATAGTTAATAATGGTTTTCTAGATTAATGGAATATTTAGGGCAACCATTTTACGAAGAGAAAGAAATATTTTTTAAAGTACAGTCCCCGAACAGAGGAATTATGCCCACTCATGTTCTGACTATGATCATACAACAATCGCAACGATCAAAGCTCGTCAAAATAAAGTGCGACATTTAGGATTCCAATACAAATGAAATTAAACGACCAATTGTTTCTTCTTGTCGGTATTGACATTGGAACGGAGCCGCGCTAATATAAGTTCTATTTTCAACGCAGTGTTACCTTCCTTGTTCCTTCTTTCAGCGCTTAATCTCGCACAGTTCTCGTCAGATCAAAATCTCGAGTGCCTTGAGACAGACTTTCCACTTAATCTAACTGATCTGATAAAAATCTCAAGGGCCATCTAACAGACATCAGATGCATTCATCCCAGCCTCACATTTATAAAAAAAAATGAAAAAAATGATCACGATGAAGCCATTAAATGTATTAATAATTGTAATATGAAGATTTGTGAGTTTTTTCAAAACTGGGAAAATCAATGGGACTAAATTATTTTAAACATATCGATCATCTCGATAACAACAAATAAAAATATATTAGGAAGCAATTAGATGGATCATTCATATGTTTCGCGTTTCTCAGTGTCGGACCTGAGGTCGAATTGTTCGATCAGAAATAAATTATAGATACGAATACAACAATAAACCAACTCCAATCCAATTCTTAATCCATGAGTAAAAAAATTCAACTTGACTCGAAATAAAATAAAAAGTGTCCAAAAGTCATGTTCTCTTCCACGGAATATCAAAATAGGCACGGAATAGCCAGATCATTAACCAAAAGCAGTCAAGTTCACAATCTAGACCCCCTCCAAGCGTCGGATCCCATCTTTTACTGAAGACGTATCTCGCTACGTGTACGTATCTTGCTACGTGTACGTGTCTCGCTACAGGTACGTATCTCGCTACGTGTACGTATCTCGCTAGGTGTACGTACCTTGCTACGTGTACGTGTCTCGCTACGTGTACGTATCTCGCTACGTGTACATATCTCGCTACGTGTACGTATCTCGCTACGTGTACGTACCTCGCTACGTGTACGTGTCTCGCTACGTGTTCGTATCTCGCTACGTGTACGTGTCTCACTACGTGTACGTATCTCGCTACGTGTACCTATCTCCCTACATGTACGTATCTCGCTACCTGAACGTATTTCACTACGTGTACTTAAACAAGTTTTACTAAATTTGAGGTATCTTTTGATCGATGCCACTGATTGCTGTCCAAACACCATAATATGAGTTGACCTTCATATTATTATTTTATTGAATGAATGTCAAGAAAATTATATCATACCGATTCAAATGGTTAGCACATGTAAGTATGATTCCAATGTCATTTTATCTCTTTGGGTTATTCCATTTCAATATCAGAAACAAAGCTTGACAATATCCTAACAATTTCTTTTTTCGTTCGAATCCAATTTTCCTTTAATTTTGCGTTTGATTTTTGAAAGGTATAGTTACAATAGTTCAGAAATAAATTATGACATTTAGTAGTATTGTGTGAACTTCATAGTAATCGATGTTGAAAATCCAATTCCTTTATTTATACTAGGATATATATGGCCTGATCATCATTCACCATTTGATGCCGATTAGAAAGTCAGCTGACAAAAATGCATAACAATTATGAGACAAAATGTTTAACTTCTTCCTATGAATTTTTCTCGCCCAAAATTTTCTTCCTCAACACCTAATGCAATAAAATCGATTCCCAATATCATTAAATCTTAATTCTCAGAAACAAAGAATGTGTATATATGACTAAAGCTAATTTCATGGTGACTTCTCAAAACGTATACCAATAAGTCTCGTGTTCTTAAGATATCAATCTCTTACGTCGTCCTGATAATACGTATAACTTTTAAGCCCAGACAACTTTAAATCTACGGAGGCACTCGCCTTGAACGAAGCGCCCAGACGCTATAAAACATACGGAGGTACTCGCCTTGAACGAAGCGCCAAGACGCTGTAAAATCTACGGAGGCACTCGCCTTGAACGAAGCGCCCAGACGCTATAAAACATACGGAGGTACTCGCCTTGAACGAAGCGCCAAGACGCTATAAAATCTACGGAGGCACTCGCCTTGAACGGAGCGCCCAGACGCTATAAAATCTACGGAGACACTCGCCTTGAACGGAGCGCCCAGACGTTGTAAAATCTACGGATGCACTCACCTTCTGTCAACAACAAGGCACTCGACACCAGGCGGCGTGGCGATGACATTTGCGGTTCTATATTCCTCGTTGAGCAGCGCCTGCTCCCCGAAGTAAGATCCTTCTTCTAGCACACGCACTTCCTCTTCGATACTTTTGCCTGCAATACCCAAACAGAAATTTTAAAACACGCACAATAAATTTAACAAAAGAAGTAAGGATTGTGGTAAATGTTGGTTTGATCGCCATACCATTCAAGGCATTGGTTTCAATGCCTAAATATTTAAAGATTTGTGTTTAACACTTTACAACATCAAGTTACAATCGAAGCAGGAAAATTATGATAGACGAAATTATACAAGAAATAATGTAGAGTAAGTAACTTTCAAGTTGCACGACTATTTCTTCGATAATAGGATGACTTTTGTAAAATTGTATCATGTAAAAGACATAACACCTTAAATCTTCATTAATCATTTTGAGAAGCATATGGCAATGATTCACAGCATATCTCGGATTGGCTTTGTTACATAATTAGAAAAAATGTGTCATTCAAGAATTGACATTTGAATGACATTTGCAGTGTCATTCATGAATCTCAGTCAATCTGAAGGTTGAGCAACAAGACAGAAAAATGAATAACAGCAGAAACTTTTCAGACAATCCGTGGAGATTAAATGATTCATAAGCCGCGACTCGACAGGCATCAATTTTCCCACCATCTAGAATTAAATCAACATGAGAAGAACGAGACTAAATAGAGATAAAATAATGTGAGATACATACCAGAAATGAGTTATAGGAACGGTTATAAATGATTCATCACGAAAAAATACGAATATACGTATTAGTTTAGAGCAATAGTTTACATGAATAATTTGTAAATATTTCGGAACTTCGTTTGGCAATTCACTTAGAGCTAAAGGAACGCATGCTGGGCATGCCAAGACACCGAAGAGCCTAACTCAATACGCGTTTTCATACGTTTTGATATACAAAGAAAAAATCTTCTACGAATTTACGTCTCAAAAAATGTAATAAAACACACCGAACATTAAACACATGCTCATTAAAACTATCTCTTGCATACGACTTCACAAAAAAAAAACATTTTGCCTGTTTGAAAAAACATGGGCAATTAACTAAATTTCGATAATATAGACGTTTATTTACCTATACAAAATTGAAGGTTCATCACCCATAAGCAAATTCGTACATATTAAGGTAACCAAACATAAAATTTTGGAATTATCAGTTTACATACATTTTTTATTTTTTTTTCATCAACTTACATTTTATTTTATAGCAAGATAATTGAATGTTTCAGCAATAAATAGAAAAATAAAAGTTTTCTATTACCTCATGAAAATTTAGGTTTTGAAACTTATCTTGTATAGAAGAATCTATTATAATTAACGTCTAAATTAAACATAATTAGGCGTTAAAAGTTGACAGAACGAATAAATGCCATTAATAATTGCAGTGGCAGCTCAGCTTCATTTTCTCTTTGATGCAATGTAAAATGAACAGAAGACAGAGATCGGAATTCCAACAAATGAAATTCAAAGCAGTCGCTGCTAAAGGTGGTGCATACCGAAGCATTTTGCACGAGTATTTTATATCAACGATCTTTCATCTAAACGTTCTTCTATTTCAATGCTCTGTAGGAATATAGGGCCCTGATATAGACACCACTTCGCTCGCATTCATTACTGTGCTAGTAAAACTTACATCTTTGAGAGGGGAAATTGAAAGCGGAGCAATGAAAGCTCCATGCCAACAGTGGACTAAAATTTTAAAGGATTGAAAGAAACATTGGATGTTAAAATTTTCCACGCGACGAGCAATAAAATTGTGTAAAGGGTTTGATAGTGATAGCAAAACTTTAGCTTGACATCAATAATGAGCTTTTGGTACAAGGAAAAATGCCATGAGATTATGTAAATGACAATACAGAAATTTTATGATATTTTCCCGTAAATATATATGACATTTGAAGTATAAAATTTCGCACGTCTACGGTACATATCTCGGAAAATTTCGAAGTCATGTCGCACTAGCAAGAAGAAAGTTGTGGGGCTTGGCCGGGACTCGCAATTGCCTCAACAAAAGCCAAAATAGCGTTTCTTGTCAGCACAGAATTGCTCAGCGATTGACGGCGCAGCTGCACGGAGAAAGATTGCTGCCCATCCAGGCAAGTTACTTCGGAATCCCAAAGTCTGATTCCTACTACACAGAAAATGTCTCGAACTAATAGAAGGTTTTCGATCACGAAGTCTCGATTGAGTGTTGAGAATCTCGATGTTCCTGTCGTGAGATGCTGTTTATTTCATTGAATTGGAAGTAAACGAACGCTGGGCTACTGAGATAAAGAGAAGGCCGTCAAAATGTACAACTATTTGAGTGCTTGAAGTATGTGAGTGTTTGACGCTCTATAGCAATTCAATATTCCCATTGCAGAATACAATACGGGTTAAATTATGAAATTATTCAATTCGATTTACCACATTTTTTATATTTCATTTATATATCACTTATATACTTATGTTCCCAAACTGTTATATCTTCATTCAAAATAAAATTAGACTTTACACAGGAAGTGAACCTCATTGATATTAGCATGGCAACACCTCACGAACCAACCTTTAACTATAAAATTTCTACATCAACGCGTAACAAAATTCCACGCATCACCCAGCGCCATCCAACGGAGTGCCCGAAAATTTTCAAGAGATGTCCGGCTCCCAGTCAAATGAATGCGTTACAAACAAGCTTTGTAGTGACATCAATCAGTTTGCCTCTCGCAGAGATCATGTCACAGGGCTATTGAAGCGATCCATCGGCTAATTGAAGCCAACAGCAAAGACTTCAGGTTTCGACAGCGCGATATTGCATTATTTACAGTATGAAATGTAAACATATATATCTATATTTTAGACAATTTAATACAAAAAATTCTAATTTCACGCAAATTCGACTCCGCGATATTGCATTATTCACAGTATGAAATGTAAACATATACCTATATTGTAGACAATTTAATATAAAAAATTCAAATTTTATGCCAATCAGACGTTTTAAATACACTTGTGAGCAAGCATTAAAGTGCGATAGACTTTCACGATGCTGCAGCATGTCACAGCTCGTCTAGTTCTCAGTAATGCAAACCAGCGGCCGTTATTGGACGAGAAGCTTTTTAAATTAAAATATAGGCCGAGCTGTTATTCTCCAGGGTCTATACTTTAAAAAAAAGTTAAGAGATCGTAAGTTCATCAGCCAATCATTGACGGTCTTTCAAGCAAAATCCACCAATCATAGACAAGAAAATCGAGCGTAAGTACTTATATTCACTTAGCGAGTTTTGAAAGTATGGCCCCAGGGGCCATACTGATACTCATCGCAGACATGAAACATAAGCTTTATTTCGATGTATGTCATATTGGGAACAACAAGACGCCAGGCGAAAAAAACACTGTTTAATACGTAAGTTGAATGCAAAAATCTAATTTTATAATTTAATAGTTTCACTGACATGAAACATACACAAAGACAAAGCTGACAAAGTCATATCGTTCTAAAGAACTATAGTAATTAGAGAGCAACAAGAATAACTACGACTTCAAATTAATTGAAACATAGGATAGTTACGAAATTGCAAACCCCTATTACAGCTTAAATTACCGTTGCTTTTTAAGAGAGATACTAAGATGATTTCAGGCGAGATCGTTCAAGATACAAATATTTAAAAATCCAACAGAGCCGCAAACGAAGTGCTAATCTTACCGGACGCGAGTACGCGAAATCACATGAATATTTATTTCCAGATGCCACTTAGCATGAAAATACATGCGGGAGAGATAAGAACTACAGAGAAATATTTAAAAATAAAATTCTGAGTTCTTTTGGGGTTATGAATATCAGCAAAAGTCAAGACAAGCTTTGAAGGAATTTATAGATCTCTTCAGGTAAAGCTAAGGAGTGGAAATGTACGGTATCAGGCTGTTCTACGCCAATTACAGTAGAAGCAATTAATAATTCATTCAAGAAGACTCATCGATCTCTGTGATAAACTTTACAAAAAGATGCAGTAAATTGAATGCAATATTGTCCTACTTTAGTAAAATTATCGATCGCAGCAAGAAACTACCCACATGTCTACAGCAACGCAGTCCTCCAGGCAAATGACGTTGAAACATCGTTGATTACGAGTTGATTTAATAGAAACAACGTTTGAATAACGATTCTTTACCGTTATTTTCTCTCTGGGAAACGCAGTTGTAGCATCCCGCAGCTCACATATCGCAATCTGCACGACAAAGACTTCTCTTCTCCGTTATGAGAACGTGATGACAGAGATGGCGACATCCTGACGCTCAGAGGGTCTCGGCTCATCGAGTAAGTCATTTGCCACGGCTAATTGGATACCAACATTTGAGAGCCGCCGAGTCTGAATGCCGCGTTCCCACAAACTTGGGCGACAGGTCCAGTTTTGATGAACGTGTCGAGAAGTGCGACACGAGATCAATAAAATTGAAGTTATCATTAAGGTAAAAATTTTCATACTGGGCTTTTCTGTAGGCTGTTCTTTTTCGAAAGTAAGTTTATATGCTTGTTTTGTAAAAGGATTAAATAACTAGAAATGACATAGATAAATTTCTCTCCTCGATTTCGGAGAAAATCAATTTCTCACCTTACTTTGAATATTGAAAATCGTCAGCAAGAAAAAATTGTGAAACCCGCATGTTTTAATATTTGTAACAAAATATTAAAAATTAAGTTTTGATAATTTAGCATCCTCACTAGAATGTCAGTATTATAATAAGCGCGATATTACTACAATGAACGCGTCGGTTTCTGAATTTGCAAAAATAAAATTTGCACTACCACAAGCCATAAAATAAGAAATCATCAACTCATTTTTTTTAATTTCCTTAGATCAAAAATGACCAGAAAGTAGGGGTAAAGAAAAAAAGTCTAGGGGTAAAGAATCAGTCTGCATTCTTTACGTAAAATAGTGGAAGTTATTAATACATGACCAGTACTGGTCATTGAAAGGATTCGACGAGCTAAAGCAACCGTAGGAAATTTTGGTCCCGCTCGGTTATTAATTAAGAACTTTGAGACACGGAAGTTAAGTGGACGTGGCTCAGACTGGACCAG